GTAAAAGTGTAGTAATAAAGTGACTCTTAATTAATTCAGTCATAGCTTTGAAACCTTTTGAAAATTACGAATCTGCAAAAGTTGTAGATGTATCCAAATCAAGTTGTGCTGTATAACTTCCATGTAGCGTGTTATGTTGTTAGCAGTTGCAATAATTCGCAGAATTTACTGAGCTTGTGAAATTTTGTGTGTAAAGGAGTTGCATTCTAGCAAAATGAAAAATTTTCTCTAGTCAGTCAACATTTCTCCCCACTTATTGAAAGAGCGTTTGGCATGGAACTTTTCCCACAAAGACGCATCTATGCTTTTTGACTGCATCAAATAACTGTCAGACCTTCTTCTGTCAACTACTGCCTAACAGACGTGATACTAGCGTTTGCAAGCACATGGCTTTTTCTTGACATTTTTCTGTTTATTCATATCAAATGTTTATCACAATTCTAGTCAGCTGGGATTTAGAAAGGCGTGTCGTTTATAATAAATTATGTTCGCACTGCTCCAATAATGCATTTCCACCTTGCTGGTATTTCATTATACGTACCAGTTGTAATCCCTACTGCTAATACTTTGGATGCTTGGCCTTGCTTTAAGATATTTTATGTTCTCGAACTACTATCAATTTTTGCTTTATGTCCAGGAACTATATTATTAGCTAGTGCGCTAGGGAATTGTGTGCAACTATTTCACAGAAATCTCATCCAAGTTGCTCAGGTAAATCTTGCTCTTGATAAATATATTCTCTAAAAATTATTATTATGTTAGTTTTGATGATTTCAACAATATTGTTCTTATCGCGTTAGGGACCATGGGAGCGCATGCTGCTCCTAGTATCATAGCTTCTTCATCATCATATGATCACAAGGTGTACAAAAAAGTTCTCACTTACGTATAATTCAAAAAACCCACATTGCAGAGTAGCGCCGCATTGCAGAGGTACAGTACTGGAACGTCCAAAAATTATGTTCTCAAATTCTTTGAAGGGTTGCAAAGTACGATTATTTGATATACTAAATTCAAATATGATTTATATCAAAAGCAAGGCGTTTCAACGCAACGTTACAGTATTTCCATTCGAAGGCGCTCATCGATACAATTCCGTGACCGTACTGTGAACCATCCGTAGAGAGGACAAATGTTACCAAATTCTGCATACCAAGTAGATCAATAAACAAGGTTTCAGCGAATTCTGAGAACATGGCTGTGTACTGTGCACATACAGTACCCTTACTGTAAAGCGCTGCGTACAGTACGACAATGTTATTTGGGTTGAGCATGTCTATTCTGAGCGTCATATGCTTTCAGCGTCTCTAATATGTTAAATGTTAATCTATCAATTAATTCATGCCTTACACCTATATGCTTCTTCAGTTTACTCATGCAGAAAATAATGGATGTGATAGGATAGCAGGAAGAAAAAGGAAGGAAATTAAAGGGGGAAAACAAAAAGAGGAGAAAGCCAATAATCTAGTAATTGTCTGATAATTCTGGCTCTTCTCATTAGATCTTCCGTAGCTTGACCCGCGAATTCTTGCTCTACAGTATAGGAAAATTCTAGTGTTTTCATCCAAAGACGACATTTTGTATGATATTTTATATAAACTGATACTACTGAAGATATCGATACCTTCGATAGTCCTACTATATAAATTTATCAATCAAGATTTTCAATTTCGCTATGATTCATGTTATCATATAAAAAGCTTAGAAATTATGCAACAGCTGCTAAATGTTAGCTCCCAAGTTTTGCTACGGCTTCAAACATCTAGCGTGATTGCTGTATCTCTTTGGCTAGACTTGTCTGACGTCACCATGTTATTGGGTGTACAACTTAATTCGGTCCGTTTTTTTTTTCCTTGAAAAACGCATTTATTTGAATCATAAAATGAATTAAT